TGTGGATTTCAAGTCCTGCCCTAGATACGAGTCAAGGTCATTTAGACCTGATGCGACCACAGCTCCTATGGTGTATAGAGGAATCTCTCACACATGCATACGCTTCACCCTGAAAGGTGGCTTACTTGCTTTCCTGAACGATCTATCAATATGCATGTCGTGTGATGGCACATGGATGAAGCTTTGACCCCAGTCTTTGTAGGCCACCATCACACATAAGGGTCATACAGTCTGTCGGCGCACTCATCTAAGCATATGCTCCGACCTCATCAAGGGATGACCCATTAGAACCCTTCTCGATTTGTTCTCTATGCTCAGGTAACCTAACCGACTGGCCTAGATCGTCAAACACAGTTCGGTATCAACAAATATCATTTTTTTAGTATGGTCCTTGATTGAGTTTATGTTCCACTATATCATTTTATTTTACAAACACTCATAAGGCTTTTAAAGGCCACATGAACCCAACATCTCCCACTTGGCCTTTAAGGCCTTACATTCTCTCTTTCTCACTTTTTTTCATCCCCATCTCTCTCCCAATTATGATCTATCTCTCAAGCATTTTTCACTTATTCTTTCTAAATACATTAATCATGACTTTCTCCATCAATCCTTTCACAAAACACGATTTATAGAGACAACGTTTTTTTCTCTTTGCTACTCGGATCTCATCCCAAAAGTGATCGTAACTCATCTTTCATATCACAACGTGAATTACAAACTTGTTGTCCCAGAAGACCATCACGTACCCTTATCGCATGGGGTCGTATGTTTATGAGCTCAAACAAGTTCTTCAAATAAGTTGCTCCCTTCTGTAGCCATACAACCAAGTTCCATAGGTGAATAACATTATAGTCAGTTGTTTCATTTAGCATGTCAAATGCTAGTAGGTGCTCTCACTGGAATATTTAGTTTATGTGGATCTCAATCTTTCGCAATCTTACTTCATTCCTCAGGTGATAGAAACATGATTTTATATACTTTAAGTTATTATGGAATCGTAGCTTCTTTGACATGCATATCGCCGCCGTGTTGTCACAGAAAATCTTTATTGCCTCACAATGTACGTGGTCAAAGTCAAGTCGATTAAGAAATTCTTAATCCATACGGCCTCCTTAGTAGCCAAATAGCACGACACGTACTCTGCCTCTATAGTGGATAATTCTACCAGATCCTGTTTCTTTGATTTACAATAATATGTACCCTTCCAAGCATGAACACATATCCAGATGTAGATTTTGCATCATCTAAATTCATGAGATAGCTTGCACCTGTATATCTGAATATCCAAGTAATTAAAAGAAACATGGGACTGTAGCAGCTCACATTCAATTATTATACATACAACATATACATTATCAACATTTTTATGCATGTCACATGAGGTAGCATAACAAGTCTTATGCAATATGTAATTCAACACCCGTTGGTTTCACAATATGCAAAACCTTCATGAACCACAAACAAATGTTTAACCACACTAGTCATCTTGGTAGTAAATCCAGACAAACCACGTTATCTAATCAATACAACATGTGTCAAAGAAGCTGAGTAGGATGACCTTCCTTCAACATTCACTATGGTTCAAGGTCTTAGGTAATCGAGGATTTTAGGTCAAGGCACATGGGTATTTAAAAACTAGTGTATGACAGTTTTTCTCCAATTTTTTTATAAATACCGTCATGTCACAATGTTTTGCTCTCTATAAAAAATATTGACTTGGTATATATATATATATATATATATATATATATACTACTACACGTAACGACAACGTACGTTAATATTAATTAACGTTAACGTTAAAACCGGTTTAAAATTCGTAACTTTACTAACGTAA